ACAGACCTCAACCCTATTGTCCCTCTGCAAATTTGTGTACACAGAGTCATTCCCTTACCTCTCTCTAAAAGTGCAAAGTTTCAAAAAGTTCAATGAATAGAAGATAAGATTGTTGGGGGCGGAATATATCAGGACAAGGAGAAGTCTGGAGATAAATGTGAGAAGGGAGGGACAGGCAGTAGAAACAAAAGTGAAACTATTTTATCAGCATATTCCAGAAGTCTTGAGGTCTTTCTGAGTGTTGCCTTTATTGATTTGGGATCTACCACACCATTCACTCACTAGAAGGGAAAAACCATCATGGCAGCAGGCCGTAAAAGAGACCCAGTTTGGGAATATTTTAATGAAGTTCCTCTACCTGTGGGTCAGACAGGCATGCGTGCAAAATGCAAACAGTGCAACAAAGAAATGCAAGGCCTGGTTGCCCCAATGAAACATCATGATGAGAAGTGTTCCTTATCAGGAGGTGCTTTGAAGATGATGAAAGGAACATGTCTGAACATGCAGGATCTTCAGGTTGGTAAACTTCTTTATTTCATACTTCTTTCTTAAGGGACTGCCTGTCTTCCTTCTGGACTATTCTTGAATTCTGTGTTGTTACTCTGTGGTACTATCATTTTAGAAGCAGTTGTGATAAAAAAAAGGAATAGCCAAAATAGGCAGATCTTCCTTTTACAATTTCACCTTTAAAGTAGTACTGAGTGTCAGTGAATGCAGTGAGTAATACTAAATGGCAATATGGTAATAGTAATTAAATAACTGCACTGACATTTTATTTAGGAGAATCCATCCTCAACATACAGGATTCTGTAGACTATCCACCTTCAAGATCACCATCAGTTTCAGAGTTATCTGCCAATGATAGTGTTTCAGTCACATCATGTATGTCACATAACCACAGTATATGCAGTAAAATGCAATTGAGGATGTGTCATTTGAAAGCACAGATTTATTTAACTTGTACACAGATGAATCACTATACTCCCTATAGGATTCCAGGGCCACACACAGTTTTGTTTTGTTTTATACAAAACTGTAGCAAAAAGAAAAAAAAAATCTCCATCATCCAGAAAGAACCATAGATAAATTTGTGATGAGAACTATCAGATTACAAAAAGAGTAACTGATGAAAAGATTGCCCGGTTTGTTTATGCAATAAACTCTCCTTTCCGTATGATTGAGAACCCACACTTCATTAACATGGTTCAGTCATTAAGACCAGGATACAGTCCACCCAACAGAGCAGATGTTGCAGGCAAATTGCTGGATAAAGTGTATGAAAGAAAACTTGAGCAGTGTGCAAAAGGTCTAGAGGGTGAAATTGTTAACCTGAGTCTTGATGGGTGGAGTAATGTCCACAGTAATCATGTTGTATGTGCTTGTGTAACAATAGAAGAAGGGAATGTCTTCCTTACAGAAACAATTGTTACATCAGTGAACTGGTGGAAGTCACTTAAGCGCTTGGATTCAGACACTGTTGAAGTGATAATCTCACTTTTAACAGCAGTAGCTTCTTCTGCCAGTGTAGAAAGAATATTTTCTTCCTTTGGGCTAATTAATTTCAAATTGAGAAATTGTTTGGGACCTGAAAAAAGCTTGTTTTTCTTTTCCAGATTATAAACAAAACAGGAAAATGAAGGTGAAGACGACTGAGTTAGCCGCAGAAGCCAATATTTTAAGTTTCGCATGTTGACCTGGCTGACAAAGTCGATATTTTTTTTAATATTTCATTTAATTATTTTATTTAAAAACAATTTTAACAAAAACAAACAAAAACAAACCTATTTTAAAAAACGTGAATGTTTAACTAAATTCAAAAATTCATATATGTGCTCATTTTGTTAAAAGTTTGCTACTGAAGAAAAAAATCCAGAATACATAACATTGTTTTACTTAACTAAAACTATAATTTAAATGTCTATCTGGTGATGTTCTCCTCCTAATACAGCAAGGCAAGAAAATCCTCCAAATATTAATGATTAACCTGTTGAATTGGAGATAGTTCACCTCCCAATGACTTCATAAATATCTGCTTCAATTACCTTTGGAACATGAAATAAACAATCATTCATTTTCTGCTATAACTGTAAAACTAATCTGAAAAGTTTGCAAAATGAAGCACTTTAAAAATGTATAGAGTGTACCTTCTAAAAATGAAACCTACATCCATCTCCGAGTTGTGAAGAATATGTATTAAGGTTATAACAACCAACATCAAGAATGCACTTTTATGTAGAAATCCATGACTAAATCGAGTCTTCCTGACTAGTGACTTAAATTATGATTTAAATCAATTTGATTTAAATCAAATCCACCCTGATTTGAAATGAATGCAATTAATTTATTTAAGAGTGGCTCAAAATACAGTTGGTTTGGGTGCTGATAACAAAGTCTACTGCAGTTAAAACCTTTCCAAAAGCTATTTAAAGTGGGGAAAACGAAGGAGGAGGAGCCGGGAAACCATTGTATGTGACCAAACACTGCCAAGCCATCACCTGAAACAAAGATTTGGTTGATGAAAATGTAGTGTAACTGGTTTCAGTCGTGACCCACCACACCAGAAACTAATCTCTGAGTATGTAAGATTAAGGAGTCTTTAGGAAGGGGAAACAAAAGGGGGAAGGAATCTGAAATCACTAAAATATGTTTAAGTAACGTGAAGAATCTGCCCAACCCATAAAACCAAGTTAGAGGATGAAAGTCTGACCTTAGCTCACCTGACAACTATTTAGGGATTTTGCAAGGTCCTGATATCGATGCTGTGCCAGCATGTGCTGCATTATCAAATTGAAATGCAGCAAGTTAACCCAAATTGTCAGTCTACATTTCCAGTATTCAGTGAGGGGGCTTTACATTTAAGAGCTGCTATTAATTTTAAATAAATTGCTCTTTTCGGGGGGGGGAAAGGAGAGAGAGAGAGAGGAATAGTAATAGCTTTAGGATACACTAAATTACTCCCAAATTATGTGTTTACCTGATAGGGTCTTGAAGGAGTTGTTACCCATTTCTCTGGATGCAAGATCAATGATAACTATACAGAGAGACACTAATTTTGAGCCCAATTCCCTTTGAGATTTGTGTCCTGATGGGAACTTGCAGAACCCTACCCTTTTGTATTTGCGGTCAGAGAGCAGCAGCAAAAACATACACTGTTTGTTAAGGAGGCAACTCCTCCCAATCACAGAGAAAATAATGAACACTTAAAATCACTCCCTCCTGCTTGGTAACTTGTCCTGCTTTGGGTTTCATGACACCATTCTCTCTTCATTCTATCTCTGGCTGTTCCTTCAGTCTCTTCCAAGAAGGTCCTAACCATTTCTGCTACACTTACTGTGGGTTATTACAGGGCTTTGTCCTAGCCCCCTCCTCTTCTCTCTCTATCTCTCTCTGGATGATCTACTCATTCATGTTGCTTTAATTATGATCTCTACACTGATGACTCTCAAATCTTCTCCTAGCCAGTGGCCATCTAGCCAATCCCACATCTCAACCATATCTCCTTGTTAGTGTCTCACTGTTAACTGAAAGTGAACTCATTTTTCCTCCAAACTCCTTGCCACCTGTCCCCATTCTCTACCTCAGGGGGAGGGATAGCTCAGTGGTTTGAGCATTGGCCTGCTAACCCCAAGGATTGTGAATTCAATCCTTGAGGGGGCCATTTAGGGATCGGGGGGGGGAATCTGTCAGGGACAGTACTTGGTCCTGCTAGTGAAGGCAGTGGACTGGACTCAATGACCTTTCAAGGTCCCTTCCAGTTCTATGAGATAGGTATATCTCAATATATTTACCACTATTCACCACTACTCTCTAACAGGCTCATAACCTCATAACTTTGACTCCTCCCTCTCCCTTGTCAGAGTCAGCCTATTTCCAAATCTTGTTGTTTCTTCATACACAAGTTATGCAAGTCCTGACTTTCTCTTTTTGTCCATACACCTAAGACTCTTGTTGAAGCTCTCATCTACCTACCATCTTGATTACTCTTACTCCTTTCTGCCCACCCTGACACCGACAAAACTTCCTCTTCCTATCATCATCTTGCCTGTCATTTTGACTGTTCTTCTTATCCCAACCACATCAAGTTTAAGTTTAACCTTGCCTTTCAAGACCTGTTACACCAGCCCTTGGTACTTATAGAACTTTGCTGCCCGCCCCCAGGGATCCCAACTTTGGCAATCCATCTGTATATTTTCTTCCACACTATACCTTAAGCTTTGAATACCCTTTGAGAGCTGGGTGAAAGCCCAACAACATTCAAACCTCTCCTGACAACTCAAATCTATGACAACTACAAGAAATTAGTCATGTAATATTAGTAAGACAGAAGGGCAACGGAAAATGTTATATTTCTAATGTAAAATAAATTGCATTAGTAAAAACATCAAAACATGTTAATCACAACCTTAACCGATACATTTTTGCTGTACCCCTTCTCCTATTTTTGACTCTCAGGCCAAACTCTTAGTGATAGGGACTGTGACTTTCTCTCTGTTTGGCACAGTGACTATTGTGCTACCAGAAATAATAAATACAGATTTCAACTATGTATCAACTCAAAATGTTTTTACTTAAATGGACACAAAATGATTAATAAGTGTCAGTTACACATACTTTCTATGCCACTTTTCTTGTTAGACTGTAAGCTCTTCAAGGCAAGGACTGCATCTTTGTATCTGTTCGACATATGCCTAGAATAATATGTCTCCCAATTCCAGCTGTGGCTTTGAGTGCACCACCATCAATTTTTTTTTTTTCTGTTTTCCAACTTGTTTATTTTTGTACATTTAACAGCACTTTGGTGTATAGTCAATTTCCCCCTCTGTGTGGGTCTTTCACTCAAAAAGAAGAGAGATATTTAGAAAGATGAGAAAATAAGATTGTATAACTACAGAAAATGACAAGAAATACTAAAGGTATAACCTGACTACTTTTTAAAAAACTGACTAGCATTCCATTTCATAGTGTTCCTTTAAAATATAAAGATATTTAAATTGACATACCTGCTCCTTGGAAGAAACATAGACTCTTTGATGAATACTGAACCAGACAGCAGGATGTACCAACAGGAGCCAATATCATCAGGGCTGGAATAAAGAAGAGAAATGATGAGAAGCATAATTTAGGTAGAAATTGCAAAAATCTGTTAGGAAGAGCATCACAAAACCATAAGCCAAAAATGCATAGCAAACTCTGAAGGAAAGCTACTGTTTAATCATTTACATCAAAATTCCTTAAACTATTCTAATTTCCTCCTAAAAACACATACATCACCAGAACACCTTGAATTACTTAATAGTATTTTTTAAATTACAACATTCACCGACTTGTGGCCCACAGCACACAATCACAGCAGCCCAATATAATAATACTGAACCTGATTATAAAAGATCAAAAACATAGTAAAGCTTAGTAATATTGCTTTGCATTCTCTTACCCCTTGTTGGAGGACAGAGCCCCTTGCCTTCAACATGAGCTCCTTCCCCATTTCTGGACCATCCCTCCTTCCAATCCCCTTGTCCAAAAAAAAAGATTTACTCGCTTCATGGCTCTGTCTTGCCAACCCACAGTGCAGACAGAGGGCTCACATTCCAAGAGCACCTTCACTCATTTGTCAGCCCACCCACACCAAACAATTCTGGGCTGCCTGTGCATCTGGTGCTACTTTGTGCGGCTGTTCCATGCTTCTTTCTAGCATGGGGGGAGGGGGAAGGCAGCAGGGAAAGGCAGCTTATTTTTTTTTGGAGATCAGGACAAGTGATAGTGATTAGTTACTAGCAGGAAAGGAGGAACAAGTTGCAATTTGCTTCTCTCAGTCATCCTGACCCAGCTTATATCTCAGTTGGCCTTCCCTCCTGTACAACACAACCACCTCTTCATTGCCCTCAGAACCTCCAAGAAACAAGTCTGTAGGTGACACCTACATGGGGATTAAACTCGTTTCTAAAGATTCACAGGGAATAACCACATTAGAAAGCAACTAGTTTGTGACACCTTAATCGGTGTAGGTTAGGCTGTGACCATTCATTTTTTGCTTCTTCAGTTTTCACCACTCCTACTGCTTGTTACCCAGTCAATATACGTACATAACATTTTCATCAAAAACACAAAATTACTGGGGTACACTCTTAAGGATGTAGAATTAATCATTCTATAGCACTTCCCACTTCATTCTTTTAATTACAAGCCTCAAGTTTTTAGCAACAATTAGCTTGTTCAAACTTCAAGCAAGCTTAGCCCACGTATCTTAACAAAAGGTGACAGCATAGTTATTAAAATCCAATATTTAAGCTAAGTAAGCTATTTACAGCTAGCTGCACATTTCTCATTTTAGAAAGCAAAGCTGCAAGTATATATGTGACAATGTCCTCAAAAAAGATTCCCGCATTTCCACAGTGATGAGCGCTGTAGAAATGTGTGTAGTAATTTTTAAAAAGAGAGGATGATGTGAGACAGAAAAAAAGCAACAATCAGAAAAATGGCTAGAAATGACTAGAAGAGCATATAAATGGCAGATTATTAACATTCATACTTAGGAAGTTAATTCTCTTTCAATTCTTCCCTGAACATATAACCATGATAGAAATAAGTCACTCTTGCAGACTTAAAAATGGAACCGTTTGCCAATCAAGAGACATCAGATATCTGGATGATTAACAAATAGATCACAATCTCATTTCCGTCAATGACCAAATACAGACTAATTGATTGAGATGGCCATGTGGCCAAAAATAGTTTTCTTATTCTCACCAAATGGGCCACACTATTGTGACATGGGAAACTACATGCTACGATAACTTATCCTGGAAGACAAATTCCAAATGGGGGCAAATTAGAGCATCATCACAGGACATAAGAACAGAAAATAAGATGCGTGTCAATGGCAACATGTCGTGCTTACTGTTCCTTGCATACCAGAAACAAACTGGTGTTTTCTTCCCCAGGCATGTTGTCAAGGATCTCTATTCTCTTTTTTTACTGATATGAATAGGCACTGAGAAATGGTGGCAACAGAAGTTTGAATAAAACTGAAAACAAATTAGGAAAAATAAAGAAAGCTTTAATCTGACTGAAAAGCTGAATTAGAGACAGACTGTAGAGAAATACAGAAACATGAGCATGAACTGAGGGAAAGAAACATGAGCATGAACTAAGAACAGCTGGCATGGTGCAGTAGAGGAAGTTTGCAAGTACACAAACTGATCTATGATGGCAGACACAGCAAAATATGAAAATAGGACTTGGAATTTCTGTTTTAAGATTAAGAACTTCTCAGAAATGGAAGCAGTGGAAAGAAGAGCTCACGTTGCACATTGAAATGACAGTTTCTGAAAAGGAAAAGCTGAAAGTCAAACTAAATTATTTGATTATAAATCAGGATAGGGATATTTCAAATATCTTGGGCCCTGAACTGCCCAGAAGCAACACAAATTAAAGTCTCTGTGTATGTCTTCACTGCAGAGTACTAACAAGCACTCTTATGGTGATCTCCACGTAGAAGAAAAATTATCTTTACTGTTACTAGTATGCACAAGGTTGTAAGTATGTCAACACCGGGGGACTGTTTTTTATATCCAAGGGGTATTCTGGTTTTTATTTATATAAATATATAGAAAACTATGCTTGGATTTATTTGAATTTTAAGGAAAGTCTTTCATGTCACTCTTTCTGTGACCACCAACCTCACTTCCTATAATAAATGTTATGTAGACAATGAGTAAATAACCTGTTATTGGTGACTTGTGCAATCTGCACCCTAAACTTATCTAAAGCTGGAATACACTAGACTTGATACTATTTCACAGCTATATTTTTGGTACTGCTCAACATTATCTTCTTTGTGATGGTTTGTGGCACCACTTAAGAATATTGAATTACCAAGCAAAAGAAAGCCATAAAAGAATTGATGCATAAATAGGTCAAAGTTTCAGGAACAATCACTCTGAGACATGGCAAATTTTGCCATATAATCAACATTTGGGACATCTGATTTTCTCTTTGCTTTCTCTCCTCTCCACCCATTTCCCCTACACCCATCACTCCTTCCTCCCTTCCAACATTGCCTCTATGAGGTTTAACAGAATCTAAACTGATTTTTTCTTTAATTACAATTGCTGATTTTGGATGTGGGTGAGACATTATGGCATTACGAGAAGTAAGTGGTGAGTAGGGGTGCTGGGTAAGGAACCTGCTGGTCAGAGTTATGGAGGGAAGTTCTTGGCTGTTGGGTGGGATAGGATTGCTCCCCTTCACCCCAAATCCCCACTAGCACAGTACTGTGCTCCTGGTAGCTCTGTTCAAGAGGCTATAGAGCCAGCTCCACAGCCTTTTGAAATGGTGCTTCCCTTGGACTCAGCATAGTAGGTGAGAAGCTCCACTTTAATTGTGTTGGAGAAGTGATGAGGTCTGGACAGCCAGAAAGCAGCAGAAGGGAGGGAAAGGAGCAGAGCATCTCCATCCCCTCCTTTACTCTCGCTCCCTGCTGCGTCTTAACATTAATAATTTCTCAACATGTGGGGTGCAAACCAGTGGGCAGCCTTCTCATTACCCACTTCTGGAGTCACATTCTACAGTCACATTCTCACTAGACCATGTATACTCTAGGAACTCTGCAATCACAGCCCCCCGCCTCCAGTCCACCCCACTCCACACTTGCCTTAGGAAATCCACATCCACAAATTGTGGGCTTCCTAGAATAATAATAATAATAATAATAATAAAAACTTAGGAATTCTGCATGGTGCAACAGCTCTTCTGGATTTCTTATGGCACGACTGGCAGTTATGCATGATGCAAGAAGCTCACATCTGGCTACTGCAGACTTAATTGCACCATAATTGCACCCTATGAATCTATGAAAATAGATAATTGCACCCTATGAACCTATGAAAACAGCCAAAGCAATCAGGTCTCATCAATACGAACTGTTTAAAACTGATTTGGAGTATTTAGACCAAGCCATTTTTTAGTTATAACCAGACAACAGATTAACAACAAAATTTTGCCTACCATCTCTCCCAAACATACCTTCTAGTCTCCAGGAAAAAAAAAATCTAACCTGGCTAACCTGGCATAAAATCTTATTTGTAAAATCTCTTGTAGATTAGTTTCTTTTTGGCAAAAAGGAGTGCATGGGAGAAGAGGATCAAAACCAGTCCTATAGCATGTGGAGGACATGCATCTCTCCCTTAAAAGCTGTTGATGCACTATTATAAGTTACACAACAACTATATTCAATAATATTACAGGGAATGTTTTCCAGGCATTTAGGGAACGATAAGCTTTTGGGAATACTAAAAGCTATTGTTTGTGGTTAAATACAGTCTTTGAAGTAACAGATCATTATTGCAGAAACTCTAATATTACAGTATTATGATAAAAGTACAGTATTGTGCAGACACAGGTTTGAAAGCAGCACTAAAATGGGCACAACAAGACAATGCATTTGTAAGTTAAGCTCTCTGACACCGAGGTGTGTGCATTAATAGCCCACTCCTGCAATACACTGAGCACCCACAACTGACCCAACAGGAGGTGCGCAGCACCTTGCAGGATCAGGCCCAAAGCAAGGAAAAAGCTTTTAACAATGCTATTTGGAAATGAAGTTTTTCAGTAATTCATCTACAGCTGAAAAAAGCAGCTTATTCAGACCACAAACCAGCAAAGAATCCTCTAGTTCCCCAAACCAATTCTCATCAGATGTTACTTAGATTACACAAGTAGGTGATATAATAAGGTCCAGGTGAAAAGAGAATATATATATATATTTTTTTTAAACACACACTAAACCAGGCATTCTTTCTTATGGACCGTCTAATTCCGATCTCATTCACGCTAGTTTTACATTGACTTCAGCTGCGGTATTCCTGAGTTACACAGCTGAAATTCAGTAGTAAGGCACAGAACAATGAGCAAATGCTGAAACACACAATATGTACCAGTAGTTGTTCTTTGCATTAAAAGATTGTTTAGACTAAGTCATCTAGATAAAGACGACCACGAAAATCTGCAATTACTAAAAGAAATCATTCTGCAAATACTATTATCCTCTAATGTAGGTGCACAATCAAGGTCCCATGTATTTTGT